TAAAACCTTTTTCTCTCTTAATGTTTAAAACCCATGTTGGTCTCTATATGTTGGTAAATTAGTTCTAAGAGAATTTAAGTAAACTTAAAGATAAGTCATGAGACGATGAATGGTAAAAGCACAAGAAGAGTAAGTTCTTGAAAAAGCTCCAGGTTTCACCACACGCTGTGTGAAACACACTCAAAAATGCTCAGTATAGACCCTTCTTTAATTTAGGTGTGACAGAAGTCATTAGCTGGAAACCTTATAATTAAAATTCAGTCATTTTCAGACTCTCCAATCCATGTTTTAATTCTGCCTTTTCAGGATCTTCAGCAACTGCAACAGCTTCAACAGCAAAATCTCAACCTGCAGCAGTTTGTGTTGGTGCATCCAACCACCAACCTGCAGCCCGCGCAGTTCATCATCTCCCAGACGCCCCAGGGCCAGCAGGGTGAGTGGCACCTGAGGCTGTGCACTCTGCAGGGCACATATGCTGGCTCTTATTTTGCCCTAAAACTGTCTTTACTAAGTTTTGATTTTAAACTATCAGTATTTTTGTTAAGGAAGTTTTTGTTTGTTTGTTTTTGTCAGATGCACCTTATTATTGAAGATTGCCCTTTACTGCCATTCATATCTGTTTAATCACTAAGGAGGAACCCAGGGTTTGGTCAGAGTCTAAATGAAGCCATTCAATATGCTGAACATCATTTGGATAAGTGGCTTCTGCCACTTTGATAGTTTATCATAGGGCTGTATTCAAAGCATACAGCCTGAACAGAATTCATTTCCCTTTAAAATTGGAGAAAGAGGGGATGTTGTATTAGAAACTACAATTTTGTAAGTTATAGAAAGTATCTATGAGGTTCCTGAATAGTAAATAGTGCATAAATTTTGTATCAAACAGTAATGAAGTTTAATCATGTTTGTAAGTCCTACTTAATATAAACTGTAGAGTATTAGGGTATCAGGACTTCAACTCAAGAAATATTAGTGCATCTCTATTATTTCTTTAAAAATACTATTTTAATTGTACATATTGGTGGGATACAGTGTGATATTTCAATATATCAGTACAATGTACTGATCAAATACCAAGGCTTCATTGTTTCAGAGGTTTGTTTTTGTTATTTATTTTGCCTTTTTTCTTCTTGTATATTCATTCCAAAGTGTTTCATTGTGTAAACATGTATTTTTAGCCTCTGTTCAAAATTAGAGAGCTTGCAGTCTAGTGCCAGGAAAACACACCTATTAGATATTAGATATCTAATACCTATTAGGGTATTAGATTCGATGCACACAGAATGCTGTGGAAACCAAGCGGGGCTCCTTTGTGCTTTTGTGATCAGAGAAACCTTGACACTGAGTTGGGAGAATACCTTCATACCAAGTGTAAAGGAGTAAAACGAACAGCATTTGCAAGGCTCAAAGACATGGAAGAAAAATTGATGAGCTTTTTCAGAACTATAAGTAATGCCTTAAAATGAGAATGTTAAGTTGCATATGTGAAATTTAAGGCCAAAAAGATTAAAGGAGACCAGATCATTAAAGCACCTAACAAGAAAGAGTTTGACTTTTAGTCCAATAGTTTAATAGTTATCGAGGTTCCATTGATATGTTAGTCACTTGAAGAATTAGAAAAGTAGGTTTCTGGGCCCCAAAATTTTAACCAGCCCTTTAACCCCAACCCTAATTTAAGTGGCCCAATGCCTTTGAATATGGGCAGCCTCTTGTAGTCTATACAAAGATATAGAAAGTTTAAGTAGAAAGGTGACATTTCCCACTTTCTATTGTGAAAGCTGAAACTGAAACTTGGAGGAGGAAAAATTAGAATGGATAAAAATGCTGGTTAGGGGAACATTGCAATGGTCCAGTTGAGATTTGGTAAGGGTTGAACTGTGGTTGCAGGGATAAACAGGAGATGTTGATTTGGTGGGTGGAAAGGACATGATGCCCAGTTATGTTTAATTAATGATGAGAACAAGGCATCTAAGTAGTTCTTGGTTTTTTAGGAAAGTATGAAGGTTAATGGGTGAGAAAATGTGTGTGATAATGGGAGATCCTTAGTTTAAAACAAATTTTGTAAGTATAAGAGGAATAAGTAGAGTTAGAAGAAGGTACTGTGATTTTAGAGGTCAAAACAAGTGGAGAGTTGTAATAACAATGGAAGAGAATTCCACAAAGGCAGGAGGAAATGATCTAGACCAGAAAGACTTAGAAAGGTCAGTACTGAAGTGTGTATATCAGATTTGGTAATTGTTAAAGCTTTAAGATTGAGTGGGGGGCCAGCGATTTAGCTCAGTGGTGCCACTGCCTGCTCGCCAGCTTAAGGACCAGAGTTCGATCCCGGTACCAAAAAAAAAAAAAAAAAAAAAATGATTGAATAGTAGGTATTGCCTTCATTTTCTTATGGCAAAGCCAAGAGCCTGGTCTTTGGACTTCATTTTATTTGAAAGAATAAAGCTCAAGGCTGAGCACAGTGGCACTTGCCTATGATCTCAGTATTCTGGGAAGCTGAAGCAGAAAGGCGGCTAAATACTTGAAGTATAGTTTGTATTATTGACATTATTACTATGATTTTATTACTGTTTGAATATTTAACTTCTAGCAAGAGAAATCTAAGCTACTTTCCCAAGGTCCCCCTCCCCATAGGAAAGTTCTTATGGCTACATTTCCAAATTTGAGACAAAACCTTTGGCAATTTGATTCTGCCCTTTCTGTTCTCACCATTGACTCTGAAACCAATCAAAGAAATATTCTTGTTAAAAAATGGATGTTTGTTTTGTATTTGGCTTTTCCCTTGCTGGGAGGGTGAAGTAATGGGACAAAGGATGGTCTTCATGTAAGTTCTTAACCTTTATGGGGCCTTTCACTTGTTTAGCTAAACTTATTATTATTTTTCAGTATTCTTGGGCCATTATCCTTATAAAATACTTTGAATAGATTGGTTTTAATCTTTGACATAAACATACTTTAATTTTTTTCTCTAGACTACCCTTCAGAAACCCTTTTCTCTCTAGACTACCATTTTGTGTGTGTGTGTGTGTGTGTGTGTGTGTGTGTAGTTTTTTTTTTTTTTGTACCAGGGATCGAATTTGGGTCCTTGTGCTTGTGAGGCAGGCAGCAGAATCCCTGAGCTAAATATCACTGTGTTCTAGGAAGACAGCAGATCAAACTAATCGGGCAGGGGTTTACCTGTGGAAGAATGGGTAGATGGAGAAGGGTCATTTGAGTTGAGACCTGATAATGAGGGAAGGGAGAACTGCCTCCCTAGGATCTGAGTGAAGAGTCTTATGGACAAGGAGAATAATAGTACCAGAGAGAGGAACAAGCTTGACCTAGGCCAGGAAAAGAAAGACCAGTATCACTGGAGGTCAGTGAGTGTGAGGAAATGGTAGGAAACAAGGTCTAAGAGCTGCACGGGGCTGCACAGATTGTGTCCCACTTGTGATGGAAAGTCTGAATTGTTTAGTTGGGGAAGGACATGACTGAAAAGATAACCCTAACTTCTCTGTGGATTGAACTATAGGGAGACACTGGGGGAACCAAAGTGGTCTCTTAAACTTATTCTTTTTTTTTTAATCTGCCTTTTAAGAGTTTATAGTAATATATATGTTGTTCAGTTTTACTTCACTTAATCATACTCACTTGCCCCAGATCAATAAAATTAAAATCTTCTTAGTATATTTATCTTATTTGTGATATACATAGTGAATATGCTTTCATTTCTTAAATTAGGTAGCTCTTAGTTATTTACAAATGATAAAATGTGTGGCCAGTTTAAGTTTTGGGTCGTTGTCCTGTAGATTCCAACATTCAGTGTATCAAATTTGGTGCCTATGGAAATTGTAATTAGGAAGATAATGTTTCTCCAACTAATCATAGCATATACATTTTAAAAACAACTGGTAGGATTCCTTTTATTTAATGTACTATGTTGGATAATTTCTACCACTGTTACTCTTACAAATAATCTTATACTTAATATTGTAGCAACAGCATTATATTTGAAGTTAGGTTTATAGATTAACTGCTCCCCGCTTTTTAACATAAGTTTTCACTGTGTTGCCTAAGCTGGCCCCAAAATCCTAGGCCAACCAGTCTTCTGCCTCAGCCAGTTTGCATAATTTAGACTACTGGCATGCACCACCTCACCTATCTTACTTATCAATCACTTCAAACGTAAGATAGTTCAGTGTAGTACAGATAGAATTTACATTTCAGCTTTACTATCCCTGGAAGGCAAATGTGTTATAAAGAAAACTTTAAAAAAACAGCGTCTTTTTCCACAAGAATAGCCTGCTCCTTTCATGAACTGGGCATTTCTCTGATCCAGTTTATTGGCAGAGTGTAATGGATTCTGGTTAAGAAACTGAGCTGTTTTGGGGGGTTTGCTGTTGCTGTTGTTGTTTATTTTTAGTTGCTTCCATTTAGAATAGTTCTTTGTGTTCATATGCTCCTTACTAAAGTAAAGAATTGGCCTACCAGAGAGCTTATTTAGATTACACTAAGACACATCAGTTTTAATGTGTTCTTATCATCTCGCCCAAGTTCTCTTTATAAGAAGATTGAATTTTAGACAACAAGGCAGCAGTATGAAGACAAGTAAGACTTTCAGACAGTGGGCTGAAATTTTTTTCAGTTCACTTTCTTATTCTTTCTTTTGCTATACGTGTTGAAAATAACCTTTAATGTTTTCTGGCAATAACATATTGATATTTTGTAGGTCTCCTGCAAGCGCAAAATCTTTTAACGCAACTACCTCAGCAAAGCCAAGCCAACCTCCTACAGTCGCAGCCAAGCATCACCCTCACCTCCCAGGTCAGTCTTTTCTCACCCTGTTGTGGGGAGAGACTTTGGATTTTGTTTAACTATGAAAAAAACAAAGTCAAGACAAAACAAAAAGAATAATACATACATTCATTAAAAACAGCAAAAAATTCAAAACTGTGCTTTTCAGCTTAGCAAAGAAATGCTACCAAACTTATGAAATATTGGAAGGACATCTACCCATATTTAATAATCAGACTGAATTAAGTTCCTTCTAAGATCAGAACAAGGTGACCACTGTTACCACTTTTATTCAGCATTATACTGACAGTTCTAGAAGTGCAATAAGACAAGAAAAACACATAAAAGACAGAGAGTGCCTTGCTATATCTTTTTTTTTTTTTTTTTTTTTTTTTTTTTTTTTTGGTGCTGGGAATCGAACTTGGGTCCTTGTGCTTGTAAGTCAGGCAGCAGAACCACTGAGCTAAATCCCCAGCACTTTTACTTCTTTAGAAAGGAAGAAAAACTAAAAACTTTCTTAACAGGAAGATAGACAAACATCATTGTCTATATAGAAAATCTTAAGGCATCCTAAGAAGTGGGGAATCTGCTGGAGTTTAAAAACTATGTAAGTCAATATACAAAAACCATTTATATGTCTGTATACTAGCAGTGATCATTTGAAAATTGGAATTTAAGACTAAAGATAAATGTAACATGCAGCTAATCGCAGAGATTACAAAGGGCACAAGAAAATCTTTGGTGGTGATGAAAATGTTCTGTATTTTAGTTGTTAGTAGATGACTGTATTTGATTGCCAAAATCTATCAAAAGTATACACTTGTAAATGGTGAACCTTTCAATATGCTAAATACAAAAGTAAGGTTGGGGTTTTGTTTTTTTGATACTGGGGATTAAATGTAGGGCTTTCACACTGAGCTACATCCCCAGCCCTTTTTTGAGACAAGGATTCACTAAGTTGTCCAGGCTGGGCTTAAACTTGGCAACCTTCTTGCTTCAGCCTCCCAGAGTGCCAGAACTAGAGGCCTGACCAAGGTTGGGGTTTTGACAAAAGCCTGTATGAGGATTTCCTTTCTGACCTATGTGTTTTCAGGCTCTGCAAACAGTGGCAGGTTATTGTGGCTTTGTCCCAACTTCTGCTCACTGAATTCTACTCTGCCATTCCTAGATCTGTCTCAGCCCAGCCTGTAGTTTCTAGAATTGGGGTATCTTATTTGTGCACCTAAAGGTACCCAAACTGTTTTTAGTCCTCTGTTATTTGAGGAAGCAGGTCCTCAAGATGAAGTAACAGTCTTACAGTTGAGACTCATCTCTACCTATTAACCAGTGTCACTGTGGGAAGTGCATAGCCATGTAGGATTCTAATAGAGTTGGCTTCTCCAAACTGGTCAGCTTGAAAATTACTCAGGGTCAATATGTCAGGAAGATGAACTTTATTGTCTTTATTGAAGCAGGATGAGAGGAAACTTGCCCCAGTTATTGTCTGTGGAATGCCTATTGTATAGTTTTCTGGGCTAGTTAGTCCCCTTGGAGAAAGCCTTGGCTAATGAGGTCAAGTTCAGGGCTATGTGACCCATCTAAATTACAGGAAGAAAAATTCACAACACAGGTTATCTGTAATCCTGGTGTGTAATCTCTTGCCTGGGCTCCTGTTCACAGGAAGGGTCAAGCAAGCAATAAAGATAGAGAGTCAGGACAGCACCTCGCATTAGTGAATACACAGAAGGGGATATTCTACTTAGGGCTTGTGAGTAGAACAGCTTTGTGTTTGTGTAATAAAGAGATTTAATGTTTTCTTTTAAAAAAGAGAAAAGACTATGGAGGTTAGGAGTGTAGCTCAGTAGTAGAGCTTGTGCTTAGCATGCAGTAGGTCCACCCCCACCCCCCAAAAAAAGGAAAAAAGGCTAAAGCCTCATGTCTCAAAATAAGCTGTAGATGGGTTTAAACAAGTAAATACTCTAAAAATACAAAGAAAAGGTAGCAAATTATCAGGAATTCTATCAGAGTTAAAAATAAGTGAAGCTTTCTTAAGATCTGAACAATAGAAACAGTGGGTGAGGGGGCACTTCACCTAAATGGCAATTTAATGTTTATGTGCCTAAAAATAAAAGGAAAAAGCAAATTAGAAAAAATGTTTGCATTAATAAAACAGACAAAACCTTACTCTCTTAACATTTAGTGAGCTCTTTTAGGATGAGAATAAGGATATTTTTAGTATATAGATGGGTAAGGGACACGAATCCAGTTCATGTTCAAAGAAATACACATAGTAAATTTTCATTTTCAATAATAAATGAAATACAGTAGCAAAAGTGATATATCATTTACTCCCTGGTGAAGAAAATATTTTTTCATGTGGAGGAAACTGCATTATATAATAGAAACCAACATTATCAAAAGTCACAAGATTATCTATTTGCCAAAAAAAAAAAATACCTTGGAAAATTTTTTTAACTGTTTACGTAAGTGTAAAAACGCATGTGCAGAGTTTTTCATTATGTTATCTGTGATAAATGAAAAACTGTATAGCAATTAAGAAATTGTTAAAATAATATTGTCCTAGCCAGTCTTTGGAAAGGATAGTTATGTATACCATAATTACAGTTAAGGTTAAAATCTAGTTTTGTGAAAAAAAATTAACAAATACCCCAAAATGATGCCTTCTATAATAAATTATTTAACTCCAGATTATTTGTTTTCGTCCCCAAAATAGTTCAGTATATATTATAGTGTCAAGTGTTAGAGACATGATAATGATAAACAAGATAGATAAGGGGGTCCCTGCTCTTCTGGCAGTCTAAGTGGCTATTTATAAAATAAATTTTTAAAAGTAGAGTAGTTTATTAAAAGACATAAGATACATGTATTCCGACTAGTTCTACTTTTGTGTAGTTGAGTTTTCTCTATGGCCTTACTTGCTGAGCCTTTGCTGTAGTTACAGTGTACACATCCGACAGTCTGCTTTTTCTCTGAACATTATGCTGTGCTCTCTGTATTGTACATGGTTTCCATTGTTCTCCCAGAGTATAACTGTCTCATTAAGTTGTTTGCAGCACATTACAGATGTGTCACTTAATCTTTTTATATGAGATATGATTGAAAAATATAATGAACATTTACATTTCAAAATTTTTTATTATAATAAAAGTCACATTGCCATTGATCCCCTCAAAATTCATAATTCTCCCTCTCGATTTGAACACACTGGTTCCATTGTTTTTGCCACTTTTTTGGGGGGGGGGCTTCCTTTGAGGCAGGGTCTTGCTATGTGGTTCAGGATAGCCTTGAATTCACTATGTAGCCCAGGCTGGCTTCAAGCTCACAGATCCTTTGGCCTCAGCCTCCCAAGTGCTGGGATTACAGGCCTGGCTTTGTTTTCGCCATTTTTCTGAAGAAATTCCGGAAGTCTTTTGTTGCGCTGTTTTTAATTGCACTGTCCTGATTGCTGTAATGTCCAGAATCAATGCAAAGCATTTACCTTCCATGGCCATTTTCACTTTGGGGAGGAGAGAGAAGTTGCACCGAGCCAGATCCAGTGACTGAGGTAGATGAGGACACACCATAAGGTGTGTGGAGCCTGCCTTTCTGTGGTGTGATCACACCTCAGAAAGACACTCACAAAAAGCAGACTTCCAGAGCCAGGCATGGTGGCGCATGCCTGTAATCCCAGCACTCGGGAGGCTTAGGCAGGAGGATCACTGTGAGTTCAAGACCAGCCTGGGCTACATAGTGAGTTCCAGGTCAGTCTCAACTATATAGTGAGACCCTGTCTCAAAAAAAAAAAAGAACTTCCAGAACTGCCTCAGAACATGGCAAGAACGATGTGTGTTTGAAGTAAAGGATGGTGTTTTGAAGGGATAGATGGCAGTGTGTCTTTTACTCTATAATTTTTTAACTTAAATATTCACCCTATATTTTGATCATACTGTGTATGTTTATTACGCTGTTCTTCAACAGCCAGCAACCCCAACACGCACAATAGCAGCGACTCCAATTCAGACACTTCCACAGAGCCAGACAACACCAAAACGAATTGATACTCCCAGCTTGGAGGAGCCCAGTGACCTTGAGGAGCTTGAGCAGTTTGCCAAGACCTTCAAACAAAGACGAATCAAACTCGGATTCACTCAGGTAGGGTGCCATCGCCCCCGTTACTTAGGTTTCCCACATTGCCTGGGTCTGAGTGTTTGCCTTGTGTGTCTAAAGAGGCTTCTGAGCAGCAACATGGTCCTCGGGCACGTTGTGCTTCGGCTGTAGATGTGTCTTTTTATGAGTCATTTAGTATTTAGAACTTCATACATTCAGTTATAATCATCCCACTCATTTGAAATTTTGTATTAGATTAAACTTTCAAATTTATCTCACAACACAAGCCTCTGAAATCATAATTCTATGTGAAAGTTTAAAAGATGTTACGTTAGAGGATGATGTAACTGGTCTTTGATATTTGAGAACAGCTGGTGCCACTATCTAAGACTTGGCGTCTTTCATAGCAATTGAAAGGGGATAACTTTGAAAGGCTTATTTACAAATAGTTTTTAGGGGAGTGAAGGTAGTGGACTCTCTCTCTGTCTCTCTCCCCTTCCCCCAGCCTGTGCTGAAACTAATTAAGCAGATAAGATCTGTTGAAGATGAAAAATCCAAATTAATCAAAATCCAAATTAATTTTTCTGCTGTCAAGTAGTAGAGGACTTTTAAAGTGGAATGAATATGCTTTAATGCTTTAAAAGGCATCTGGGTTCACAGCATTTTTATTCTGAGCACTGCTACTGACTTTATTCCTTGATTAACCTGTCACAAATAATACTTTTAAACCAGGAAAGGAATTAAAATGAGTGACACTTATGTATAAGATTATAGATTAAGATTATTATTGAAAGAAAAAATCCTGAAATATAGATTGGATTGGGTGTTTTTATGGAATCAGGAAAAAACTTGATATTTTCTTTTCAGAGATAGTTATTATTTGGAATTTGACCCACCACTTAAATATTAAATGATTTTGTTAAAAGTACATAATATACCACTTATCTGGTAGATAAAAAAAAATCAAGATAACATCTCTGCCTATATTCCAGATATTTTTAGGAACAGATTTGTATTTCTTGTAATTTCATCTGGAATTTATTTTTGTTCAAAGAAGCTTTGTATTAGGAGCATAACATGATTTTTAAAATATAATTTTAAGTGAAATACAGTCACATTTTTCAGTTGTTTCAGGTAGAAAGAACTAAATTACAATTCTCAACCATTTGCTACTTGTGAAGCATGTAACTGGTCTGACTTGTTTTTAAAATCTGAAAATAAAACTAAATTGCTAGGGATAAGTTAATAAGCTGAAGTAAGTATGAAGCTGACATATTTAGCCTGCCTCAGATTTAGGCTAATAGCACAGCATCCCTTTGGTTGGGTTCCCTGGAAATTGCCCAAGTGACACGAAGCCTTTTACAAATCAGTAGCTTTTATTCAAATAGTGGTCTGCCTTTCTGTGGCATTTGACCCAATATATTGAAAGTAGTATGTGTGCCTCTGTCTCTCTTTTTTTGTTTTCCTCTCTCTCTGTCTTTTCACATTAAGGTGATTTTGTGATTTACTTTATAGTTTTTGTTTTGTTTTGTTTTGTTTTGTTTTGTTTCTCCATTCAACACTAAAGATTGAACCCAGGGCCCTCACACTGAGCTATATCCAAAACTCTTTTCAAATTTTGCTTATTTTGACACAAGGTCTTTCTAAGTCACTAAGTTTCCCAGACTACTCAAACTTGTGCCTCTTTTGCCTCAGCCTCCCCGACTGCCAGGATTATAGGCATGCATATCACACCTTGCTTTATCCTATTTTTTGGCAAGACCACGCCTTAATTTTGTTTTTAATGGTGCCGGAAGTTTATTTGAGAAGTAAGGGGAGGAGGGGAAAGGGAGAGACTGGCTTTGTGGAGCGAACTTGAGCCACACACGAGAGAAAAGGATAAAAGCAAAAATGACTGTGTGCTGTGTCTCGGAGGCACAGGATAGGCTACCTTGGAGAGCTGTGATGGTGGGCTCCTCGTGGTTTCTGTGTCCTTGTGTGTTGTCTACACCTTGTGGAGGGAAGCCCACAAGAAGGTTTTTTTGTTTTTGTTGAGGTGGGACTTTTTTATATAATTTAGGTACATTTTAGATATATATAATGATCACATTCGTTATAGGGAATTTGTAGCTATACATGACGTATCTCATTGCTGCTTTTTTTCCCATTCCCCTCCCTTCCCTTCAGTCCCCCTTCCCCGCCTTATTTACAAAAGCTTTGTGTCTATTTTTTCCTTCTGTTTTTATATTGTCCTTTCCTTCCTGTCCTCCTCCCCCTCCCTTGTTGTCCTTCTCGTCTAAACATTTCCTTCACATTTCCCAGTATCAATTACACATCTCAGTCCTTACTTACACTTTTGGTTACTCTCTCCAGAGAAACACAGTGCATGTGTGTCCGATTTATTTCACTTAAGAGTATGGTCTCAGGGTGCATCCATTTGGCTAGAAATGTCTCAAGCTTATCTTCTTTATGGCAGAGTAATACTCCATTGTATTTTTAAAAATACACATCTTCTTTGTCCATTTAATGATTTATAGGCATTTGGGCTGTTTCCAAAATTGAACTGTTATAAACTGTGCCATGTAATCATGGGTATACATATGCCACTGTGGTGTGATGCTTTTAATTCTTTCAGGAAGATACCAAGAAAGGGAATAGCTGGGTCAAATGGAACCTTCAATTTTGGTTTTTTTGAAACATCTCCGCACTGATTTGCACAGTGGTGGCACCAGTCTGCACTCTCTCAGACAGTGGACAGGGGTTCCTTTTTTCCCCACAGCCCCACCAGCATTTGTTATTGATTTATTTGTTTATAATAGCCGTTCTTTCTGGAACCACTCCTTAATTTTCAAAATGACTCTGACACAGCAATGGTTCGTAAGCCATGACTACATGACTTAAAGGGTACACTACTGGTGAGGATGGGAAATCTGTGCTTACCAGCCTTTGATTTTAGCTAAATACCTCAATTGTACTTATTTAAAGGTGACTTTAAGTCCAAAAAAGTTACGTGCTTACATACAAAAGGACAATTAAATATTCAGCTTATTTGTTGAAACATCTCAATTCTCTTAGTAAATATACATGTTATTAGAAGTTTTAAAGTTATTTTCTAATTACATAATTGCTTATTAAAGGATTACTACAGGTGTCATTACATAATTACATTGTTGCATTATATAACACATTTATCAAATTTGTTACATTCAGTATTTCCCATTCCCAGTCTTGGCTCCTTTATTCCTTTTACTCTTTTTAAAAATAGCAAAACTATATGTGTAATGTACTTCAGATTATCTATAAATCGAATCCTTATATTTAACTTTTATAGGAAAAAAATCCAAAAAGTTGCAAGAGCAGTAAACCAAGTGTATACCAAATTGATGAATATGAATGTGGTAACTAAAGAATCTGTTGCTTTTTATGCCATTAAACAATCTAAAAATTATATTACATATCTCAAGTAAATGAATTTGTCATTTATGCCGTGGTTCTAGTTAGTTGATAGAATAGCTTTATTTCACTATGATCTGATTTTTTAATAGATATTTTATTTTCTGCTTGTCAGAATTGTTACTTTTCATAATATGATGCAGACATTTGTGAAAATTTCTTAGTGAATCGTGCATTTACAATGTCAGAAAACATTTATCTCCATCTAACTGCTACTGGGTGTCTTATACTCAAAAATTGCAGGGTTCTAGTTGGCCTGTTTTCCAGAAAGTTGTATACAGGTGAAATGACCGGGAAATGAATAGATGTGATCCATAAAGCATAAATTCAGTGCCTGACATACAGTAGATATGGAGTGAACATTCCTTGATAGATAAACACATGTGTCTGTATCTTTAGGTGTATTTGTATAGCGATGCAGTGGATCACATTTATGGCCTGGTCACATTCCCCTGCTTCTTTCAGTTTTGCTGTAATTGAAGGGAAATCGGTAAACAGCCTATTTCTTCTAGCTGGAGAGTCTGCTCGGTGCTGACAGCATTGTAGATGTTCTATATCGTGCTGTGCAATACAGTAGCCACCGATCACTAGTGGCTGCTGAGCACTTACAGGACTAGTGTTGCAGGGGAACTGGATTTTTAATTTATTTGATTTATATTAAAATTTAAATTGCCACATATGGCTATAGTGACCCTTATAGAGGAGGCATAGGATCATGATCATATAAGGGTCAAGTATTCTGTGTGCTTCCTTGTGTCTTACGGTTCCACATTTATCCTCTTTTATACTTTCTATCAGAAATTATTCAACAGTAAGAAAGTGGGGTTTTAAAAATATTACTTCATTTCCTCTACTCCTACCTAATTCATGTGCTAATAAACAATGTAGTATCCAAAATATGTGTGGGGGAGGGTGTGAAAAGACTAGGACAGTTCTGATTCAAAGTAAGAGTTGGTGAAATGACTGGGAGCTGGCTGTTTGTAGATGAGCTGTGTAGTATATCAAGCCAGAAATGCTGTTGCCTCTTTGACCTATCACTAAACTAATTGAAATGAGTGGATGAGTCGTTTAGATTCCATGAGCTTCTATTAATCTGTCTATAAAGTAACTATTAAGATACGGCTTTTTCCTGCTTAAATAAAAGGATCCAGCTGGAAGAAAGGCACTGTATACATTTCAAAGGTTATAGGCTCATTTGGAAGACATCTATTGTAATATATTCAGGGATCATTGTTCTATTGCTACGAGGTTACCAAGTTTCCTGGGCTCATGACGGTTTTAGTAAATGGGTCAAACCTCTCTACTGTGAATTTCTATCTCTGTAATGGTGACAAAAGTGGTCTTTTTTGAATACCTGTTTTTTGTCACCAACTTTGAAATCTAAACTAAGGATGAAAATAGATTTTTTTTCACTGCTTCCAGAAATACTTTATAGGAAAGAAAAATAAAAAGAATGAGGGATCATTTCTAAATTTTAAAGTGATGTATAGGAAGTTTGGTTACCTCAGAAATTCCTAGGATTATATGGACAGTTACATCTAATTCCTGTAAGTGCTACAGAGAAATTGATTCTCAAAGATTACTGAAACCACATTGGTTACATGAGTTAAGGGCCCTATTGGAATCAGCACTGTCTTTTGAGACTGAAGAGAAGTTTTGGTATCCTGATTATTGTGTAACATAGCAAAAAAGAGGTTCAAACTGGAAAATATCTGGGTCAACATTGCATGCTGTCCTGATTAAGGCCCTACAGATTCTTCCTGGAGTACTATGCTCGGCTTAGGAGGGACCCAGTAAAGAACAATTGTTTACTAGGTTCTTCATCTAGAGCAATTATTGAAGTGCCCTCCACAGTAGAAGCTGTAAACATCAGTGAGATGAATCTCTCTTTTCCTCTCCCCCTTTCCTGCTCTGGACTGTGCAGGGTGATGTTGGGCTCGCTATGGGTAAACTATATGGAAACGACTTCAGCCAGACCACCATCTCTCGCTTTGAAGCCCTGAACCTCAGCTTTAAGAACATGTGCAAGTTAAAGCCACTTTTAGAGAAGTGGCTAAATGATGCGGGTAAGTGACTGTATAAGAAATTTCTTCACTGACAGTTGGAATTTTGAGAGGCAATTGTATGAACTGCAGTTTCTGTTTCTTATGGAATTAATTGGTACTTAAAGAATTTTGAAGCTTACTAATTTTGGGATGATGATTATATATCATTAAATAAGAAAGCTGATTCATTTAAATATTCTAGTAATTGCAGTGTGAATAATCAGCAGTAATATCCAGGTTGGAAAATTTCTTGTATTTGAGCCAGGATTTGGTACACAGTTGAGGAAGAGGATAAGAAGGCCTATGTATATAGATAAACTTGGAAAATGGATTTGTTGTTTCTTCCTTGACAAATTCCTGTGGAACTTGTTCCTGATAATATTTATGCGTTTTTTCTTAAAATGGCTGTATATTTCGTACAAAGATTTCCTTTTGGAAAATTTGGATTTTGAGCCTCAGAATCATACACTGTGAGAGCTAAAGGGAACCACAAAGGTGCTCTAAGACTATGGTTCTTATTTTAGATGCATAGATTTGGATAAAGAGAAACTTGAAACACCCACCCTGCTGGGTGGTGTTCAGTAGCTGTGGGTGTGACCTAGCTAGCCATGGTAAGAAACTGGGTTCCATAGTAAGAAACTGGTTACACTCCATCTCATTTCACATGCAGCAGGGAGGAACTCACAAGTGTAAGTGTGTGTGACATAGCTAGAGTTATTACACTTTTAAATGAAAGAACACAATTTTTTAACTTTAAGGAATTTACAAGTATATTTCTTTTTTCCCCACTTATACCATTAAAATGAAAGATCGTTTATAAGATTAAATATTAAATGTTTAATAATTTCAAAGCTTTCTTCCTTTTATTCTGAGAGCTCATAAAAATAAAACATAAAAACAGAACTGAGAGAGAGATTTCAGTCTAAGCCTAAGAATATTCTCAGAAACAGAAATCAATAAGTAGTGGCTCAATCCCAGGTACCTCAAGAATAAAAAAGAGGCTGAGCCGGGGATTTAGCTAAGTGGCACCACATGGCCTCGAAAGCATAAGGTCCTGAGTTTGTTCCCTGGTACCAACCACCCCCCTTCCCCAAAAAAAAAGTAGTGGTAAGAATATAGTCACCCATGCTGTGACAGAGAATGCCAATAAGGATGTTAGAACCCCCCTCAGTAGTGGACAGTGTTTTAAGGTAGATTATGTGAAAATCTTTTCACATTTGTATATAGTTTTAAGTAGTTGTCAGTTTTATTGCTGGTTTTTGTTTTGTTTTGTTTTGTTTTGAGACAGGGTCTCACTATGTAATTGAGACTGACCTAGAACTCACTCTGTAGCCCAGGCTGGTCTCGAACTCACAGCGATCCTCCTGCCTCAGCTTCCCGAGTGCTGGGATTACAGGCGTGCGTCACCACGCCCTGCTTATTGTTGGTGTTCATGCATGTTTTTCATACATGAATCAGCTCATTTTATGTATTTTTTTTCTTCATTCACACAGAGAACCTCTCATCTGATTCGTCTGTCTCCAGCCCAAGTGCCCTAAATTCTCCAGGGCAGGGAGTGGAGGGTTTGAATCGTAGGAGGAAGAAACGCACCAGCATAGAGACCAACATCCGTGCGGCCTTAGAGAAGAGTTTCTTGGAGGTTAGTTTGGTGTTTACTTAGCATGTGCGTAGGATTGTCTGTGATGCTAGTGTTGGGAACTGTGGATGATAAAAGACGAACTGTGAGCCTCTGCCTTTATGAACACCTGAACATAATGGAGAAAAGGTGATAGTCAGTTACTGACAGGAGACAGAGCTGGAGAGCACTGCAGGGCTCCGGATGACCTTGGTTGCATCCACACAAGCATTAGCTATGAGAGAGATGGCCATATGATATATAGAAATTAATTCTACAGGCTGGAAAAGTTGGGAGAAAGCACTTCAAGCAGAGAAATTACCTGTCAGAGGCCATTGGGGGAAACCATGAGCTGTGCTAGTTGAAACACTAGTAGCCTTGTTGGCCAATTTTGCTCTCTGTACCTAGAACACCAGGTTGGGTCTTAATTGTCAGGCTGTGCAGTCCCAGTTGGTTCAGCAGATACTTAGCAATTTTCTTAAACCAGGGATGTCATAATCAAAGCTTCCAAAAAAATTTGACTTCTGTAGCTCATAAAAGGTTTGAGTGTACTGGAAGGATTGCTCACTAATCAGGAGTCTTCCTCAGCTCTGCCTCTCATTAACTGTGTGGGGGTGGGGCAAGTCACTTGGTTTCTTTAAACTGAAGTCCCCACATCTGTGAAATTCCTGCTTTCCTGACTCCGGGAACATCATGCAGTCAAGTTGGCTGGTTTGCATCAAGCACTGAGAAAACGCCAAAAGTCCTGTTAATATGTAAGATTACGTAGGCATTTTATTAATTTTGTTCAAGACTAATACCTGAAAATTTTAAATTTTTAAAAATAACTTATTCTGTTAATGTAAGTTTATTAAATGCAACAATGTTCATTGGAGTGACTATATACAGAAGCTGTTTGTTAAAAGTGGCCTAACATGGCCGTGTATATCCCAGCTTCATTTTCTGACTCATCTGCTATTGTATCTGTTGTTCATAAAATTATTATAAAAGACTGGATTTTTTTTTCCCCCTTTAGAATCAAAAGCCTACCTCAGAAGAGATCACCTTGATTGCTGAACAGCTCAATATGGAGAAAGAGGTGATTCGTGTTTGGTTTTGTAACCGACGCCAGAAAGAAAAAAGAATCAACCCACCAAGCAGTGGTGGGACCAGCAGCTCACCTATCAAAGCGATTTTCCCCAGCCCAACCTCACTGGTAAGAATGGAAGTTCTCAGGCTCATGGTTACAATCTTACAAGAGGCCTAACAAGAATTTGTCAAATGTGTGCAGCATTTGTATTGAATAAATTTAAAGTGAATAGCTTTAATTCTTTCTTGTTTTATTGTACTTCTATCATTCTGTTCTGTGATGTAGTTTATTAAGTTCTTCACTAACTGGTAGTAAGTTTTAAAAAAAACCCTTTAGTGACCCTTTAGCTCTAATTATATTACAATGATCGTTTCAGCCGGGCATGGTGGTGCACGCCTGTAATCCCAGCACTCAGGAGGCTGAGGCAGGAGGATTGCTGTGAGTTCAAGACCAACCTGGGCTACATAGTGAGTTCCAGATCAGTCTCAACTACATAGTGAGACCCTGTCTCAGAAAACTTAAAAAAAGGAAAAAAAGATCATTTCAGATGCTCACGCTGGACAACAGTGATCCTTTTCTTTTATGCGTATCTTGGCTGAGTAATGGGCAGGAACGCTAAGTGACTCCCATGATTTTTAGGATGATTCTTTCTCTGACCAGGTTTTAAGAGATGGCAGATTTTCATTTTGGTTCCTTTTTTGTTCATTTGTTTTTATTTCATTTTGAACATCATCCCATTAAAAGCTCTTAAAGCTACAGTCAGCATTAAAAGTACGTATTGGTCAAGTGAAACCTATGGTTAAATGGTGGAGCTTCAGTAGTGAAATTCAGCACTAGATATGAGTTTCTTGTGTGTGACATTTTTGTGTTTCAGCTTTATTTGTACTGGAGGAGAAAAGCAGTACTTCTTATAAAACTGGACAGACTTTTTTTTATTTCAAAAAGAAATTTGAGTTTTTAAGAAATTTGCTTTGCAACCTCCTTGTAGTACCATTTTATTAAAACCAAAAATAAGTCAGTCTTGCTCCCAACAGAGTGAAAAGTAAAAAGCAACCTAAAATGCCAGCACCACTATGCCTGGGTCCTGTCAGGTGGTTTTCTTGTTTAGGTAAGGTTGGTAATTAGTGTACACATTTTTACTGATGTAGACTACATCTGCCTTGCCATCATTAATGAGTAAGGATGTTTCAAGTTTTGATTTTAAGGATTTTGTATGTTTTCATGTCTGACCCCTAGGTGGCAACCACACCAAGCCTTGTGACAAGCAGTACAGCAGCTACCCTCACAGTCAACCCCGTCCTCCCCCTGACCAGCGCTGCGGTGACTAATCTCTCTGTTACAGGTGAGCAGTCCCAGGGCACATGGCTATTAAGTACATGGTAGGCCCCTGAAGTTTCCATGTGAATCTGCCATTAAATTGTAGCTTAGAAGCTGTAACTAAAGATATGTGTGTGTGTTTTTTTAAGTTACCTGTGAAAATTTGAACTTCAAAAAATAATCGGTATGATTAATTTGTCAGAAAAACTACTTTCACCCAAGAATATTTCCTGTCTCTATCTCCATCTCTACCTCAATCTCATTTTTTGAGATAAAGTCACTGAGTTGCCCAGGCTGACCTGAAACTCTGGAACCTGAGGGTTCCCAGCTGCTACGATTGTAGGTGTCGACCACCACATTTGGCTTCTTACCTCTTTCGTACTTTCCCATATTAGTGTGCCTCCTATATTGCTTTACAGATATCTCAAATGCAAAAAATTTTAAGTAACTCCTTTCCTTACAAATTTCAGAGGCTGTGGCATTTGGTTCTTAGGAAATCATCAGGTTTATCAACTCCAAGTTTATGTCCTTTGCTCACTATTCCCTCAGCCCATAGAAGGCTCCATCCATGCCTTTGTAACCCTTCCTACAGCTCGTCCATTGTGGCCTGCAGTTCTTGGTCTGATGTTGATAAACTACTCCAGCATATATATCAATTCCTTTCAGAAGCCTTTTTAACCTCCCCAGAAAGCTACCCATTTCTACCTACCTGTATATTTTCACAAATCTGACTTTGCCAAGGGCCTTCATACTTCTCAAAAGACCTATGTGCTATGTTCTTTTTGATGCCTATATTAGTGTCTCACACACTATACAATGAATAATTATTGAATAAGTAATTTTTCCCCCTTTGGCCTCCTTTAAATAGTAAATTTCCCAATACACTTAAGATGACTTAGCCTTGTCATCACATGTTTTTAGTTATGCATAATGTATAACACAATAATTTAATTCATGAGGTTGATTATATGCTTGTAAGACATTGGGTGGCTGTGTGATATTTCAAAATCAAATTTGATTTAACCGAAAACTGGAAAATTTGATTTTCTTGTAGTTAATTTCATAACGACTCTTCAACTCTAAGCATGATGTAAAAATTCAATAAACGTCTTTATATTGTATTACATTTTAAGTTATTAGAAAATTTCATAATTTTTTATTTTAAACAGCATTTATTGACCGCGTGTTAGCCATATTTGAGACTTTTCCCCTCCATAAAATAGACAGTACAGTTTCTAGTAGAACTCTTAGGTCTGAAATCTATTCCCAGAGCTCTTATTCCTTCTTTTGTTTATTTGCTATCATTTGGAATTGTATTTTAGAATAAAGGGGAAAACCATATACTCACTCAGTCTTCTATCCTTTTGAGAAAAATCTTTATATAGTCATCTTTACTTTCCATAGCACTTGGCACATAAAAGGTCCTTGGTAAACACTTCTAGAATAGATAAAAAGAATGATCATGACTTCTCCAGAAAGATATGTACATTGTCTGATGTGTCTCAGTACCTTGCAAAAATTCCATATCTCTCAATAATCTCAGCTAAATGCACTAAGCCTCCAATTCTTTCTCCAAATGTTTGCTGATCATAAAAGTTTATTTCCTAGAAAGATAGAGCAATAATAACTATTTAGTTACCTAACAGCAAAGACCGAAGTTACTGGAATCAAAAGTAAACAGAATTAAAAGAAATAAATAATTCATAGTGACAGTTGAAGACATTAATAACCCATTTTCAGTTATTAATTTGAACTGTGTACCTAATTGTTGTCAAAGATATGTAAGATTTTATTGCCAGGCATGATGGCACATGCCTATAATCCCAGCACTCAAAAGGCTTAGGCAGGAAAATTGCCATGAGTTCAAGACTATCATGGGCTACATAGTGAGTTCAAGGCCAGCCAGAACCATATAGCAAGACCCTGTCTTTAAAAAATGGTTTTGTCAGCACTGTCAACCATACTGACTTAATTTCTATGAATGTGAAAACATTCTTTTCAAGTTCATGTGGGCATCCGCTGTAGCACTCTCTTCTGGAAAATAGAGGAAGAGAGATTGGTTTGGCTTGGCTTGGCTTGGTTTTGTTTGATTTCATTTGATTTTGTTTGGTTTCATATATATAAGGCCAGTGTTACCCTGATACCAAAGCTAGATAAATGTATCACAAGAAAAAAGTTACAGACTCATATCCTTCATGAAAATATATACAAAAACCCTCAGCAAACTCTGAGCAAGTCAAACTTGGCAATATATGAAAAAAAGAGGAATTTATTCCAAAAATGTACAGTCGGTATAATATCTGAGCAGCAATTAATATAAAATAGTAATAGAAGAAAGGACAAGACCCACATGATTGTCTCAGTAGACAGACGAAAGATATTTGACAAAATACAAAAGCCACACAAGGTAAGACTGTCTGACCTGGGACCAACAGCATACTTAGGTAGTGAAGGTCTCAGTGCTCCTCCCTCCAAGATTGGGAAGAAGGCAAGAATGTCTGCTCTTGCAGATTTCTATTCAACATTGTACTGGAGGCAATCACCAGTTTATTAAGGGAGAACAAAAGTTAAACTGCCTTTATTTGCATTAACCTGTGTGTATAAAAATCCCAAGGAATCCACAAAAAAGCTACAATTTATCACTAAGTTCAGTATTGGATACTCCAAAAATGAAGTTAAGAAGGTAATTTATACATGATAGAGTCAAAAAAATAAAATATTTAGAAATAAATTTAACAAAGGAAGTGAATAGTTATATAGTGAAAACTACAATTTGTTGAAAGACAGTCTAGGGCCAGGGATTTAGCTCAGCGGTTTGGTGTCCTGCCTCTCAAGTGCAAGGACCCGAGTTCGATCCCTGGTACCAAAAAAAAAAAAAAAAAAAAAGAGTCTAAACCGAGACATTTTATATTCCAGTAGATGCTTTGGGAGACTCCGCATTCTTTTTCTTTAAATGTTGTGATATGTGTTTGCAGTACATAATGATGTTAACCTGGAATATTGGTACACATATGTGTCACATCATGATCCTTTTTACTTCCCCTTCAAACTTGGCATTCTTAGATAACAGCTTACTCCAACTTGACTTGTAGACTCAGCATCACAGTTCCAACAGATTTTGTTTTGTTTTGAAGAAATTAATAGACTCATTCTAAAATATATGAAAGGTATCCAGTATAGCCAAAATAATTTTGAAAATAATGAAATTATAGGACAAATATGTCCATATTTCAAAGCTTACTATAAAAGTACAATAGTCAAAGTATAATGTCGGCATAATGATAGAATAAATGGTCTTAAATGTATGTTTGGTTGAGCAGACATGTAAGATGGTTCTGTAAGGGAAACAAACAGTCCTCAACAAATGGTTCTAGTACAATTATATGCACAAAGATCAGTTTAGATACTAACTCCATACCATGCACAAAATTAAAGTGGATCAGAGGCCTAAATATAAGAGCTAAAAACTATCAAGCTTGTAGGAGAAAAAATCTTCATGACCTTAGATGTTTAGGCAGAGTTCACATAGACGCTCCACCAAAAGCACAATCCATAAAAGAACAAAAATTGAGCTTTGTCAAAAAGAAAATCTTTTGTGCTGCGTAACGCCTTTAAGAAGACAAAAACACAAGCTAAAGACTGGAGAAGACATTGTAGATCATGTATCTGATAAAGGAATCCTATATAGAATACATAAAGAATTGTGTACAACTCAATAGTAAAAATATAGACACCTTAGTTTTTTAAGTGAACAAAGGACTTTAATACACATTTTACCAAAGAAAATACATGTGTGACTTCACTCGATCTTAGCCAAAAGGCCAAGGATCTATGTGAGTGACTAATATACACATAAAAAGATGTCTGACATAATTACTTGCTGGAGGAATTCAAAGCAAAACTACAAGGAGATACCACTTTTATTCACTTGAATGGCTATAGTCAAAAAGATCAAAAGTGCTAGGGAGCATGTGGAGAAACTGGAATTCACATTGCATCATTTGTGAGAATGTAAATGATACGAATCACTTTGGAAAAAAACGTTGGAAGTTTATTTACAAATTAAACTTACCATCCTATTGAGTAGTTTGTCCCAAGTGAAAACATTCACACAAAAATTTTTCATGGATCTTCATTTAAGCAGCATTATTTACAACAGGCAAAAACATGTAAACAAGCCAATGCCTATGGTTTGGTGAATGAATGAAATGTGATGTATCTACACCGTAGAATATCATTCAGCCTAATAAAAAGCAATGAAGTGTTGATTTCTGTTTCAACATTGGTAAACCTTGGAAGTAATGTACTAAGTAAAAGAAACCAGATACAAAAGACTTCATGTTGTATAATTCCATTATATAAAATACACATGTATTTTAAATCTAGCCAGATTACACCAGTGATCTCAGCACTGTTTGAGACTGAGTCAAGAGGCTCACAAATTCAAGCCCAACCTGGGCAATTTTGGAAGACCTTGTTTTAAAATTTAAAATGAAATGGATGGAAGGGAGGGGGAAAGAAGAAAAGTTAGCAGCCAGGCAGGCAGGCTGGGGATGGAGTTCAGTGAGAAGACCCTGGGTTCAATCCCCAGTATCACCAGTTTAAAAAGAAAAAAGCCACATCTGTAGACAGCAGGTGAGAGAATAGGAGTGGCAAGTTAGGGCAGACAGGCACCAGGAGGCTTTGGGTGGGAATATAACCTGGACTGTGGTATGCTGCAGCTCTGCAAGTTGATAATCATTGAATTTTACATTTAAATTGGATGCGTGTTTTGTCACATAAACTGTACCTCAATAAAGCTATTATAAGAAGACAGGATGGGAAGCAAGAGAAGTTACTAGACACTCTCCTGTGTTCCTGTGGTTTGGTGAATGAATGAACTGTGGTGTATCTACACAGTAGAATGTTGTTCAGCCTAATAAAAAATAATGAAGTGTTGATTTCTGTTTCAACATGGATAAACCTTAGAAACAATATGCTAAGTAAAGTTAAGAAGTTACCAGATACTCATCTGTGCTCAGCTCTAACTTCCTTCTAACCTGTAAGCTGAGTGGTAGCATCTTATTTCATTGTTAAAGACATTGAGGCCCAGCAAGCCCAAGTTCTCTGATCAAACTTACCCAGGCATTAAGTTGCCAAGAATTTAGGGTCATAAACCATGGATGGATGGATGGATCAAAATGGATTTAAGTATGTAGAATTTTTATACTATAGTGCTCATGTGACATTCATACAGGGGACACCTAAAATGTGGTTAGAATATTCTAACCAGAAAAATGCAACCTTGAATAGTTTCTGGAATCATCACCTCCAAGCCCAGGTTGAAGTCACCTCTACAGGACTTGAAGGAAGCAATATACTGAATGATTTGACAGTGGCACTAGAAAGGAAAGAAAACAACCAAATTAAGCTTTTAGCCCCAAGGTATGAGGTCTTATGAAAATGGGAACTAGCACTTACATAGGTAAAGTTAAATTAGATAAGGTGAGAAATTGGTTAAGAAAAGATTGGAAATGCATTGAAATTTCTTAGCAATGGGACAGAAATAAGAAAAAACACTTAACCTTCCTACAGAACAAGGGCCAAGTCTTAGGAGAAAATAAGTGTGTATAGAAAAGTCTGCCAAACAAGAGCCATTGCAACCTCGGGTGCCCAGTGGCAGGGATTGTTCTGATAGATTTGAAACTGAGGAAATAATGAATGAAAATGGCATTACAGTATCCAAAGATATAATAGTATTTGGGGCCAGCTGTAATGAGAATAAATCTTGTTTATATTTTTCAGAAGGGCAGAAAGAGTAAGTCTTCCCTTTTCACTCGACAGTAAGAAAGATGTGCTTCTCAGGTTCAGTGAGACACCACGTAGCCACTTGTGAGTGGCACTGGAGGAAGAACTCAGAATTATTCTAACACAGGCAGTATCTAAATTGCTAAGTTGGAGAATAGAAGTGAGAGACTTGAATTCCAGATGTTCTTAGTTAGTGGAGACAAGAAGATGACTTCAAAATACATTTTAGAAAGAAAACTACCGGAATGTATCATAAGCCAGTGACAAAAGCAGAGTCTTCTGTAGCGTAGTGGCAGATTTTAGCATTAAAAAACATTTTAGCCACGCTTAGGGACACACATCTCTCATCAGAGACACTGGGAGGCTGAAGCAGGAGAATTGCAAGTTCAACTCGGCTTGTGTAACTCAGTGATTTAGTGAAACCCCGTCTCAAAAAAGGATGAGAGATGTAGCTCAGTATGAAGGGCTGGGTGCAACCTTAAGTGCCACACACAAAAAAAAGACCTACGTAAGAATTTTCCAATGTGTCATTGTTTTGAGGTACGAATTTTGATCTATCTGATTATAATTGAAAGTGATTTATATGTCACAGGATTATTATATTGAAAGCTTATAGATACATTTATCTTTTTAAGCATCCTGAGAAAATATTTCTGCTTTATACAAGCATATGATTGATTCTACCCTAAAATGTGCTGAGCTTCCTAAATTAAATTCTGGCCGGCTTCTGTTTCTATACTGTGTAGCATTCACTAACAACCAGAATCAGAAGACCTGTTCCATACAGTACTTTTGTTATATAACTATCACCAGAATTAAAGCTCCCTGAGTCAGTTGGCATCTTCTGCAAGGTTATTAATCTTTCCTGTGAGAGCCTTAGGCGCCATTCCTACTTTGGGCAGAGTAGCAGTATTCTTTAAACCACACTTGACTCTAGAACACAACTTGCTAACATCGAGGCATGTATTAAATCTGTGGTACTCAACATGACATCCACTAGCTATAGGTGGCTTTGGGCATCCAAAGCATGGCTTGTTCAAATTCACAAGTGCCATGATTATGAAATGCATGCTGTTCTAAGATGGAGATAAACTAACTCATTAATGCTTTCTTAAATTGATTTTATCTTCACAATATTTTTGTAATATTGAATAATGAGTATATTATTGGAATTTCACCTGTTTCTTTTTACTATTTTCAATGGAATTACTAGAATATTTCAGATTACATATATTTTATTTCTTTTGGACAAAGCTGATCTCAAACCCAATCTCAGTGAATGTATTTAAATGATATTCCAATGTCAATTAGTCATTTACATCCAAATATTTGTTTTTTTAAACAAAAATAAACCTAGACACCATGATTTTTTAGAGGCTGTCACATAACACCTTGTTACTCATTTTTCCTGTTACCTTTTATGACATTCATATTACCCTTGTATGTGGTTGTTTCCAAAGAGAATATTTAGCATAGCAAGCTATTTAGAGAGCTAATTTTCATTATAAAAGAGCTTAGAGCTGATTTGGGGGGGCTTGCACCAGGATAGAACTTGGGTCACTGTGCTTGTGGGGCAGGCAACAGAACAAGAGCTGAATTTTATTTATTTTTCTCTCATTGAGTGTATTGGTCCATTTTAGGTATCCAGTACAGTTACATTCATTATTGGGATCTTGTACCTCTACATGACAGGTCTTCATTATCATTTTTTCCCCTTGTCCCTGCCCTCGCTTCACCCCCCTCCTCCCCTCCAAGAGCTGAATTTTAATACAAAGAATGCATCTAGACATTCACCTTTAGTCATTTTTATATTGTTTCTTGTATCTTACTGACATTCATTCTTAGAAAAAAAGCATGTAATTCTGTTTTTCTTGTTCTTGTTTTTATTTTTTTATGGAGACTGCCAAATGAAAAGGCGGTTTCCAAGTTGTCTTTTTTTTTTTTTTTTTTTTGCTTATGTTTCTTCACTAGAGAATTTGTATCCCATAACGAAAGCTTCTCTGGTTATTTTGTTTCTTAATAGGAAGTTGGCACTGGAAAATTGTTCTCTTTCTTTCCTGGTTGTATGAGTCCTCTTGTGTCTTAAAGTTGGATTCATACAAACGTTAAATTAGATTTAAAAAGGGCAAATTGAGGATTCCTGGATGATGTATCATTACTCCATTGAGTCTAGAGCATATAGCTGAATAAGCCACTCTTCTTCAAAGGCTGTCACAGAGGTTATTTTCTAATCCAGTTCTCTTTTCAGGCACTACAGATACCACGTCCAACAACACAGCCACCGTGATTTCCACAGCCCCTCCTGCTTCCTCAGCAGTCACAAGCCCCTCTCTGAGCCCTTCCCCTTCCGCCTCTGCCTCTGCCTCGGAGGCATCCAGTGCCAGTGAGACCAGCACAACCCAGACCACCTCCACTTCTCTGTCCTCCCCTCTTGGAACCAGCCAGGTGATGGTGACAGCATCAGGCTTGCAAACAGCAGCAGCTGCCGCTCTCCAAGGAGCCGCACAGTTGCCAGCAAATGCCAGTCTTGCCGCCATGGCTGCTGCTGCGGGACTCAGCCCAGGCCTGATGGCGCCCTCACAGTTTGCGGCTGGGTAAGGAACCCTCCCATCTCCTCCACATCTAAGAAGCAACAGGGAAATCGCCCCTGGAATTATTCATCACCATTTTGAATGAGAAAAGATGTCTTTAAAAGTCTCTTTGAAACAGGCTGCTCTGCAGTCATGCAAAGACCTTGCTTGATCACAGAGCTGAACCTAGGTTTTTGAGCAGTCTGGGAAGGATAGCAGTCACACTTACTTCCACACGAAGACACAGAACACCACATCACTGAGTCACCTTGGTGATGCGACCAGATAGGAAGCCCAGAATTCTGACTCTTACTCTTAGGCTTTCTCCATTAAACTCTGAACTGTCTGCTTTCACACTCTCAAACATGGATAAGAAGCGTAGTAAAGAGATTCCCAATTTTATGTTATTGTCACATAAGAGGTTTTTTTTTTTTGCTCGAGTTTTTTTGGGTTTGTTTTTTTTTAAGAGAATTAAGTCAGAATCAAAATGAGTGTAAAAGTTTTACATTTTATGCAGATCATACCATTGTTCCAGTAAGCATCCAAGAAGCACTAATGCACAAGCATTAAGCAAACCATATGAAGGTAGAGGGAAAGTACCAAAGATTGCTTTACACTTCCCTAGAGTTTCCTTCTTTTTCTTCCTTTGCGGGTATTGTCAGACTGACAGCTGTGTCTGCATGGTAATAACGTGACCCTTCTTTTCAACTTGCAGAGGTGCCTTACTCAGTCTCAATCCAGGGACCCTGGGCAGTGCTCTCAGCCCCGCTCTGATGAGCAACAGTACACTGGCAACTATTCAAGGTCAGTAGGATCTTTTTGCTTGCTCTGTGTGTGTGTAATGGAGGAAGCCTGCTTTGCTAGAGCTGAAGGTAATGGGGAGAGTTAGTTGAATGTTAACTAACTTTAACTAACGTTCTTGAAGACCAAGAAAATGTTCTTGGTTTAAAAAAAAAGAAAAAAAAAACTTTGTAAAAGAAAAGTACAGGTATTAGTTTGCAAAAAAAAGGAACCAATACTACTCCAAGAAGCCAGGACTTTGTGTGATATTATCTTCTTAGATGAACAGACTTTGAGGAAGAATGTTTTCTTCTGGTTGTTTGTCCACATACTCATCTAAAACCTCTCTCAACCACGTATTTGATGCCTCGCAAGCTCAAGGACCTGAGTTCAATCCCTAGTACCAAAAAAAAAGACATATTTGACCAAGAAGATCCCCAGTCCACATCCCCCTTCTAAGATCGCCTTGGATAGGAAAGTCCTATATTGACTGGTCAGTAGAGCACATCTTTACTTCTTGTTAGACTCCCTTTTTATATTCCCCATCGGAGTAGAGCATAGGTTCCTCTTGGATTATGTCCCTTCCAAGCCCATTTGGATCCCTACCAGCCTTTTCAAAAAAACGTGTAATTCAGGACAGTATTCATTTCATACAGCGAAGGGCTTACTGTGTTTAGGTTCTGACCTTGTATCTGAAGATGCTTGCTGCTGTGTGACTCAGGGAGATAATTGTTCAGGGAAATATCACTGTTAATCAGAATTTGTTTCTTACAATTAAAATATTTTCTGCTTAATAAGAGTTCTTGGAGCCAAAACTAATCTGTTAGCCAACTTCAACTGAGATTAGTGTGTCTAACAGTGTACTGCAGAAAATGTTAAATTACAGAGAAAACCAAATCATGGCCTAGGTTGCCTTACATTATATTGGCTTCCTGATTAACCAAATCGTAAATGAATTGAATACTGTCTGACAAGGTATAGAATTGGTCTTTCACCCTGAGCCTAGAATCTCAGAAAATACCAAGCTATAGCAAGTCTCATTATTCTGTATTTTTTCTGTGATCACATCCAAAATCAGGGGCATCGCCTTCAGCTAGGTGTTATGTAAGAAATCAGCCAGATTTTAATGCCTTTCAAAAAAAAAAAAAAAAAGAAAGAAATCTGCATGTAGGAGTGAGGTTATTTAAGTGGGGGCATTTGACAGAGTAAAAGCACTAATTACTTTAAAGTTTTAATCATTCCTGCCATGGGAAAACAATGAATGACATCAGGGAAAAGTTCTCCACCTTGAAACCGAGGCCTAACTCTAAATCACCCACCAAGGGCCACCTGCATCATTGTGTCTCTGATCTTCTACAATGAACTCATCCTTCCCCTCTGCGCAGGTCTTCGAAGTCACGTTTTGCCTCTTGAAGTGAAAAATAAATCATACCTTTTACTTTATCTGATTTGTAATTTATAAGTAAAGGCTTTTAGAAATAATGATTTTCAGGCCAGAGATTTAGCTCAGTGACACCCATGTCTGCTTTGCAGGTGCAGGTCCTGAGTTTGATCCCCAGTACCAAAACAACAAAAAAAGAAGTAATGATTTTCATCTTGTATACAAGAGCTTCCTCAAATTTATTAATAATGCCAGTTGGGGGCCGGGGATTTAGTCCAGTGGTTCCACCGCCTGCCTCGCAATTTTGCAAGGTGCCAAGTTCGATCCCCAGTACCAAAAAAACAAAAACAAATAATGCCAGTTGGTTTGATAAGAATAAAATATATTCTGAATACTTTAATCAATTACCTATACTTTGTCTTTTGATCAGAGGTATTTTAAAAGCAATCTTCATTGGAGACAATTACTGGATTTAACATATATTTCTAGGTAAATGAAATAAACTTGAGGTTTAAAGATAGAAACAGGACTAGTTCCTTAGTTCTTATAACTCTCCGTTTAGCTTACCCTTGTCGTGTTCATTAGATTTGTTAGTCCTTTATGCTCCTCAAAATTATAAACTTCATTTGGTGCCAGTATAACCCTGCAATTGAGGAAAAAGTAGGAAAGAACCTCACCTTTCATACTGAGTTGCAGGAGACTCTATAGGACCTTTTGTTTGTTTGTTTTGTTTTATTTTGTTTTGTTTTTTGAGACAGAGTCTCACTATGTAGTTGCGACTGACCTGGAGCTCACTATGTAGCCCAGGCTGGTCTCGAACTCACAGCGATCCTCCTGCCTCAGTCTCCCAAGTGCTGGGATTACAGGCGCGCGCCACCATGCCCAGCCAAAACTATTTGCACCAAATAACTTTTTTTGGTACCGGAGATCGAACTCGGGTCCTTATGCTTGCGAGGCAGGCAGCAGAACCAACTGAGCTAGATCCCCTTGGTAGGACTTTTACGACTTGTTACCTAACTGCTCTAGGATGCTGCTGACCTTCTCCTTCCTGCCTGTTTCTTGGGTCTCACCTGTAGCTCTTGCTTCTGGTGGCTCTCTTCCAATAACGTCCCTGGATGCAACTGGGAACCTGGTGTTTGCCAATGCTGGAGGAGCCCCCAACATCGTGACTGCCCCTCTGTTCCTGAACCCTCAGAACCTCTCTCTGCTCACCAGCAACCCGGTTAGCTTGGTTTCTGCTGCTGCCGCCTCCACAGGGAACTCAGCACCCATTGCCAGCCTTCACGCCGCCTCCACCTCTGCAGAGTCCATGCAGAACTCTCTCTTCACAGTGGCCTCTGCCAGCGGGGCCGCATCCACCACCACCACCGCCTCCAAGGCCCAGTGAGCAGGGCGCAGAGCCGGCCGCCCAAGGCTTTGTCACTCTGCAGTGGGATCAGGCTGGCAGTCAGTTGGTAAACTGAGAAAATGTGATCGGCTTCCTCTCACTGTGTTGTGAGGGCAAGGAGACAAAGGAGAGGAGAGAAATACACATACCAGAAAAAACAAAGAGACAGACAACATTTGCCTAATTTTATAATAAAACACTGTCTTTTCAGGAGTGCTTCATGGATTGGAGAACTTTCTAACCAAAAATTAAAAAAAAAAAAAAAAAACAGAAACAAAAAAATCAAAAACAAATAAGTGAAAGGACTACTTATCATTTCCAGCAGTCATGATGACAAGGTGGGTTACCAATTCCAATATAGGAAGGGGATTTCTTGTTTGTCTAAATTTCTTTTTTCTTAAAAAAAATCATTTTTATGGGTCTGTTGTACAGGCCATTAAGTCATAACAAGGTGTTTATAATCGTATCAATTGTGTTGGGGGTTCCTTTCTTAACTGGTACAATTTAGGCAGGCCTGTATTACTGTATCTCTATTATTGTTGTTATTATTATTGTTTTTATATATATATAGAGTTTGGACATGTTTATCTCTCGCTCCTGGATCCTATTTCAGTGAGCTCCCACACTGTGGGGAGGGAGGGTTTTGGGGTAAGGGGAGACTTAACGTTCTTAACTGCGGGAAATGTTCTTGATGGTTTCCTTATCCTTGATGACTCTTACAGAGGTGCTAGAAAATTATTTTCTTTTGCCACTTATGCAAGAGGCTTGGTGCAGAAGCTGAAGGCAGTGTGTGCGAACACTCTCACCCCACACACGCCCCTCCCCCATCAGGTGGTGCCTTTGGAGCACTTTTGTGTAGGAAGGAATTCCTGCTGAACTGTAGCTCTCACTCACCCCAAATCATGGAATGGCCCTGAGGCCCAGGTCCTGTGGTGCAACAGTGCGCTTTCTGCTACTTCAAATAGGAACAGCCGCATATGTTGTAAAGCAGGATTTGGTTCCAAAGAGCAAAGACTACTGCAGACACCTGACTCGGTGGTTCTCCTGATTTCTTATCTCCTGAAAAATGCTCCTACTGTCGATGTATTTGTTTGTGTGTTCCATTTTATGGAAGGTTTTCATCCAAACTTGGACTTACTTGGCAGAGAACAAATTGATCTGTTGAAATTGGGAAACATTTCCTTTTTGTTTTCTAAAGGAATTCTACTAGAGTTTATCCCATCAATTGTATATCCAGAAGAGGTTGAGAAGAATCTGAGGTTGCCACCTGTTCCTCTAAAGAGCTGCAGACTTCTGTCCACTGGGTGGCTTATGACTTACTCAAACCCCTAAGATTCTCCTCTACTCTCTAACTCACAGAGGCACTTATTAGCCAGGCTGTACTGGGGTCTGTAGATCCTTTGCAGAAAGGCTGAGCCGGAACTTTGCACACACCATGTCTCCTAGCTTATCTGAGATACTCCTGCTAGGTAGGTCTAATGACAGTACATATCTCTTTGTTCAATGTAGAAAGTGATTAGCTCCTGTCATTGTTTTCAGGGTGTTTCAGACTACATAAATGAGCCCATTGAAAAGAAAGAGCTTGTGCAAATAGATAAAGAGGAATGAGGGTAATTTAGAGATTAAATTCCCCTTTTTGCCAATAAACTATTATAGTATGTATACCAAAAATTTCCCCAAGAGACTGGACCACTGCAGTGCAGTTCATCTACGTTCCCCTTCGGAGTGGAGTTAAAGGTTCCTATTTGGTGTCTGATGCTTGCTTCAATCTCCAGTGGTCCCAAGACTGCACTTTGTCCCCCTTTTATGCTGGGGTTTGAGAGAGAGCTAACAGGTGACTTTCCCTCTGATTGCTTTGCTTGTGGCCCCAAGGGAGCTGAGATTCGTCTGTTTGTCTCTCTTCACCACTGTTCAGAAAGGCATTGATACAGACACAGATGTGTATGTCTGTGATTCAGGTGGGAGACAGTCATATTAATATTAAAGGTCAGAAACATTTTAGTCCCCTTTTAAATTTTTGTTTAGTTCCTCTGTCTGGTTTTATTTCTCCAAGTATTTAATTATCCCCCTCCCAATTTCCTCTTCTTACCCTTCACTTTCCCTCAAATCCCTCGAAAATCAGTGAACTGCAAGCAGGGAAACTAACAAATGTCCATCCACCTGTTTTTGTGTGGTGTGTGGCTTTTTTTTTATGTTTTTACTTTTAAACTAAGCTTGAACCAAAGTCAAATTTTAGCACGCTGCTGTACTAATGAACTAGTTTATAACGTGCAGTTCAGACACATTGAGGAGATAGATGCTACTGACAATTTTTCATTTGTCTTTATTAATTTTATATAAAAGTTGCTGCTTGTTTTTAATCTTTTGTGTTGGTAAATTGTAATATCCTCTGGGCAGACATTACCTTGATTTTTAGCTAGTTTATTTAGGTTGTGTGTAAATAGAATGGCAGTGTCAGTTACTAATTTCTTTGCTCTCCATCAGCTTTTTGTCTTTTGTAGTTAAACGTAATCTTTTATCATGACTTGACGTCTCTAACTTTAGTCTGTGCGGATGATTTTAGAGCTATGGATAATGCTGTAGCTGCCTGTAGTAGAGTCCCTCCAGTGGGAATGTGGAAGTTAAGAGGAAGGATTCAGGGAGGGAAATGCTGATACCCACCATATTGGATTAGAGGTTATAGCATTAATTTCCCCAAAATGCTACCAAAGGAAGGGGGAAGTCCCAAGGGACTCTAGCCCAGTGAGTTAAGAGGAAAGACAAAGAAAGGCAGTTTTGGTTTTGTTTTCTGCGGTTTAAAAAATGATCACTCTCCCAAATAACGCCAACAGATTTTAACATTAAAGAAGAGACTAAAAGCTTTAAACATCAGCACAGTAGTCTTTCAGTCCCTACCCTGTCTATATCTAGTTTCTAATCCCCTCTTAAGGGGATTCTGCCTTTTATGTGAATCACTTGATGAGGGTAGACCTTAAACCAGCATAAAAATCTGTGTTGAAAAGAGAATTAAATCTTTAGACAAAGATAACTTTAAATTTTTTTCTTTTCTTTTACATATTTAAAAATAAGTTATGAGTGGAAGGTACTTTTTCACACATGTACACATGAAACACTAATGTAGCTTGCTGGTGGATGTTCAGTTTCACATCGGTTCCCCACCTCTATTTGCAGATACTCTGCTAATCATACTCGCTCCATGAATGCCTTAGTCCTTTTTGATTTTTATATCATCTTGAGAAATACTTTTTTAATTGAATGAACTATCTCCTAAGCTAAGGTACTCGGACCTAACTTTTAACCACCTTTTAGAGAGGAGTCTGGAAACCCAAAGGGTCATTTGACCCAGAAGAGTTGTTCGGTAGAGTTCCTGCATTTGCAAGAAAGGCCAAATAGGTCGTTACACTTCCTTGTTGTCATTCTTCTTTTCTTCCCCTTAGCATTTATGCAAGTTTTATTTCCTCCCTGAATTTGGTTAATACATATTAAGCCAAAGACTAATTTTTAATGCAGTTGTAGTGATAGTATATTTGCCCATGATAATGGGCTCTCCTGAGGGAGCAGTGAATGTAATTGTGAACCCTGCTTGTCATAAGCGATGCAGTTTGGTCATGAACTTTATTTATACCCTATACAAATCTGAAGGACAGAACAGAAAGACATAAAAAAAGGGCTTCTCACAGAAACAATATTATTATTCTAATAAATGAACTTAAAGGAAATAAATTGAAATAAGCTATATTTGTTGAAATGTTTCTGAGGTTTGATAGGCAGCTTTTTAGAATTAAAGAGTTATTTATGTCATCAAGTCATATAATACACACTCCCTTTTATTTATTGTCAGAAAAGTCAGTACCATCCCATTCAGCTTGTTACTCAAGAATGGAACCAAAGGAATTCAGTTTTTGTTTTGCATATTTATACTTCATAGTAACATTATTAGAAATTAATATTTTTAAAGGGAAAACATCCATTAAAATTTTTAGTGAGCTCATCTTGCCAGTTTGTTCTACATAATTCATTTGTTCTGGGGGAAAAAAGCACAATGATACCTCTTTTTAATGTTACTTTGTCTATTAGCCTTCATGTGTTTGGGGAAATAGGGAAAATATCCTATATGATCTGAAAGCACATATACTTGCTTGACACAATGTTTGAATTCAACCCAGTCTTTATCATAAAATTATATTTAACTTACTGGAAAAGCTAGATGCTAAGGAGTTTGTGTTGTTTTTAAAGTTGGGAATCTTGCAGAAAACATTGCATTCAGTGTACAGTGAACATTTGGCTTACAGAGAAACTGTAGTGCATAGCCTGCAGTTGTCCCCAAGGTATGTCACCCTTACAGATCTGTCTTAACCTAGAAAGAAGTAAGACCGTTTGCTGGGCAAGGGAGACAGAGGAGCAGCTTCTCATTTCTTCCCAGGAAAGAAGAGCTGCTGGGTATGAGCTGCAGGGCTCAGAGGCCACTGTGCAGTCTCAGCTGCCACAGTGCCTTGGGAGGGTTTGTCAGATACTTTCTCCTTATGTCAGCATTTCAACTCGAGGAATTTAAAGTTTCTTCACTATTCAGACTCTTTTAGAACCAAAAATATTGCAAGACTGCCAATACTAATAAGTGAAACAGACTGAAGAAATTTAAAATCAGCCAAGTGGGCAAGAATTGATAGAGGAATGTGTTCATAACCATCAAGAGTTCACGTGTGTGTGTGTGTGTGTGTGTGTAAAGCATTTAGTGTGTAACACTGCTCATATTATCACAGTCCTAGCTGTTCTGAAGTCATTTCCAGTCCCTGACATTTTGAGGATGACACTCTATAAAATGGTAAATCTCTCTTCATATTTATCTTCAGCTTTGAGAAGGAAAAAAAATCTTTCTGTGCTTTCCTCTAAGAAGAGTAAGATCAGGTTTTCACAGGGAGCACCTACAGTACAGAGACTTGGACGAAACAATCAGACAAATTGTTTTCATCATTAAGCGCCTATACCAATCTTACTGTCCTTGGTCCAAACAGATTAAGTGGGATGCCATGAAATTTCCAGTAAGGCTTGAAAGGATCCTACCAGAAGGGCAGGGAATGTGTGTCTCAGCAGTTGTCCACTTTGCACCCAGTTTTCTGGTTGGCCTGTGAACTGCAGCTTTCTTCTAACCATCCTTTTTCATAAATTGTTTCTTTAAATTGGTTCTTCTGCCCTTGGCCTTCGCTAAAAGCAGTAAATCTGAGGACTGTTGTGTTGGTTCTGTAATCTGAATCTCCTCTTTCCCATCCCATCATTTTCTCGTTGAATGGTGATTCCTTAATCTGTGAGGATAATACTCGTGGACAACAGCTAGCTTCTGGCACCTTCATAAAATACCTCAGCATAGCTTAGCATTGTTGCAGAACTGGTTTTAAAGTAAAAACCAAATAAATAAAAACTTTATAAATAGTGGAAATAATTCTAGCTGTAGTATTTAGTTAAACTAACGTTTATCATGATTGATAAACCTGATTGATGCTGTATGTATCCAGGATCCTGTTTATAGGTTACAGTTTATAGGGTTAGGGAGGGTAGTCAGGGTAGTGGAGAAAAGTTGCTTATGTTAGAAGGAAAATGTTGCTCGTGTGTGTTTTTCTTTATACCTGTCTTGCCAAAGGAAACTTGATATTCCCCTGTGATTGAGTTTAGGATTTATTGGCTTCTTTGTGGTCTGATCTGCAGCACAGTGTATGGTGGCATGCAGGTGACGTGTGGGGTGTCCAATAGATTCAGGGTCCCCAGGGGCACATTTATAACCCCTCCTGTGGCTGCCCATGCTCCCCAGACCTGCAGCCTCTCCTAATGATTCATTACCTCTGTATATAGCAAAGGCTTAGGTAAAGGATGATTGTGTAAGTATCTGGGTGTGCACATGAAAAACAGAGACAAGTAGACGTGTACCAACTCATTTGGAGAGGAGTGGAGAGGTAACTGTATCTTAACGTAGGAAAATTCAAGTGAAACAAGTTCTTTTAGTCACCCTCTGCTATTGAGTGTTGTGCTAGTAGCCCAGCATTTAAAACCTTATTTCTTTTTTTATACCAAGACTTGTTCTGCCTAAACCAAAAACATAAATAGAAGAAAAACCAAATCAGACAATTGGAAGCTAACCTGCTCACTTCACTTCACACCCGCAGTAAGGTGTGCGTGGCCCTGAGGACTGGCTGGTTGGGGCGATGGGAGATGCTGCTGTTCTAGGTGCAGTGTGAATGAGAAGAGGTTTAGAAAAAGCAAGTGTTCTCTCTGCTCACACTCTGGGACCGATTTTCTTGGCTCCCAGAGTTCTGATAAAGACTACATCTCCAGAGAGGCTTTTTTTTTTTTTTTTTTTTTAATAAATGATCCCTCTCATACAACTTAAATGGAGTTTGGTTTGGATGCCAAAGACACTGCCATGTCATTTTTTTTATCCTTACATTTTTCAAAGCAGGGAGAGGGAGTAGGAGCAGAAGGCTGAAATCTGGTAAAGCTTTACCTTGTTTCTATTCTTTCCCTTTCCTTTTGCGCCGTCCCTACTTTTTGAAAGAAGTCTTGTTGGTTATCTGGCTTTGGCAAAAAGTTTTATTTTGTTTCACTCTTCTGGCTCTATAAAGATGGATAGAATTGCTCCGTGTAGCAGTAATGTTCTTGGAATTGAGAAGTTGTAGGAGTGCAAAAGATGGGGGCAGAATTCTTTATTTCTTTTTATCTAATACAGTACTCATAAATAGAACCAATGCAGCCTCTGAGTTCAGACAATATTTTAGATGTGTTATCTCTGTTTTGTCTCTTGAAGAAGCATTTTCAAGAGCATGACTACATGGAAAACTAAAAAATTTTCCCTTACATGCCCGTGGAACTGTTTTTATTCCAAAATGCTTCTCTAATACAAACTCTCAGAAGCTGAGTAGTTTGCTGTTTTGATGTAGGACACAGAGGAGAGAGGGAAAATAATATATTTTTGTCTGAATAGTCCATTAAAAATGATTGGGTTGCAGAACTTCACGAATGCTTTCAAAATAATTTTATCCTTCTGACATTCTGTATAAGTAGTGTTAATGTTGTGTGATATTTCGAAGCATTAAGGTAGGTTTGTAAGTAGGCAATAGGGATAGGGGAGATAAGAGCACTTGAAACAGAGGCTGTGGGGAAACAAGGTGTGTGTAATGAACAAGACTTAAGCCGGAAGTGAAGCTTCCAGGGCTCGGGGAGAGAAGATGTGGATTATGATTCTTTCTGTGTCTCTGAGTCTACCTACAATGCCACCTTCTGGTTCAAACCCAGGACACTGTCAGAAAGTTAAGACCCCCAAACTAACTTACTATAAAAACAACATTGAGGTCTGCTGCAAAGTTTTCCCATGTTTTCTTTGTTTACTTGTTCATCATGGTTTAAGTTGGCCACAATCTTGCAAAAGCAGATTAAGGCTTTTTTCATAAATTGGCAGCGGCATTGAACTCTCCAGCGTTAGATCCCAGTCTGCAGGCAGACAGCTGAGTACAGCTGAGTACGGTGCTGTTCCCAAAAAGTGAGACATCTGACCATTTAGGTCCTTAAGAACAAAGCTTCATTCAGAAGCTTTCTTTTGAGTGAAAATGGACAGAACTAACTCCCATCCTGCCCTAACAGTGTCTCAAAGTGTGAAAAAGAGGAGGAAATGAAATGCACTTTCAGAAGCTGAAATGACAGCGTCTGTTAGGAACACCAGGGTCTCAGGTAGCTGGAGGGAGCCATGGCCTTGGTTACATTCCCGCATGCTGTGCAAAAGTGTGTACCTCCTAAGTGGAGTGTCTCATTCCGGCCTGGTAGAGGAATCATGACACTTTGCAACTATATTCTAATACTGGCTTCTACAACAGAAAAAAGGTGGTCTCCTCTGAGATCTGATGGGGGAAGAGAAAAACAGACTTTTGTAGCAGCTTCTTACCTCTGCTTGCATGGGCAGCGTGCATTACCCAGTCCACAGGAGGTCTTGCTGCAGGGAGAACTCCCCACTCCCCTCATCTGTGGTAGTGGCGAGGGCTAGGTGAGTAAGCGTGGGTTTTCCTGCCCACCGC